CATCATGTGCCGGAGTGAAGGCCGTCTCCCGCACGCGTGGAATTCCGTAGTGGGCATAGACCAGACGCAGGCTACGCTTCCTCTCCCTTGCCAACGAACGCCATCGTATGCAATATCCCAACATGGCCCGCGCCCTCGTAATCCTCGTGGTCCCTAGCTTTCCCTAGCTCTCTCTCTCTCTCTCGGGACCATACTTCGCCAACCACCATGGGCATGGGCATGGAACAAACACCCTGGTCTCCTCGACCCCCTTGTCTGCCGCCTTTTCTCGTGCTACTCGCAAGTTGCATGGTATCCGTATCGAGGGACGCCGCACGCTCTTCTACTCTCCCCGCTAGAAAGCTCTAGCTGCCATCTAGCAAATCTAGCTCCCATGTAGCATACCTCCCTCTGGCCTCCTCACCATGCTCATCCTGTCCTCTTCCCCGACGCCGACCCCGCATCATTGACTCCGACCTCCCCACGCATCCATCAGAAACAGTTCTGGCCTCCATTGGCCAGCCTGCCCACACTAATCATCACGCTTCTCACTGCAGCGTTCCATCATGGGAGATGATCGCTTTCGAAACCGTGAGCATGTCGGTGCCATCCCGGTCACTCTGGACCTCGATACCGGTGCTCTTTGTTTTTGTCTCTCTCAACTCCCTCGAAACCACCTTATCCACCTGCTCCATGTTGGTGAACTCTTGGCACCGACGCGATGGACGGTCTGATGATTCGCCAACCTGCATGGTTATCGATGGCTTGCCCAACTATATGAAGAAGCTTTGTGTCCCCCTCTTCATCCCATTCTGTTGAACTCAACCAGTCGTGCCTCATCCTCTCATCTCTTCTTCCTCCTTTACCTCTTCATTGATCACCGACATCATCTTCAACTACCTCAGTCCCTCATACACTTGAACGTGTCTTAGAGAGCCAACAAACGCAGACAGACATCCACCATGTCGACGTCGACTGCGCAGCCCGCCGACCCCATCGCCAAGGGCGTGCTGGCCACGGCCAAGCAGTCCTTGAAAGATCTCTTCATCTGGAGGCAGCGTACCGTTGTTGTCAGCCCGACTGGCGAGACGCACACAGAATGGCAAGATCCCGACCCAATCAAGAACCCCATCAGCCTCATGGCCCAGCTCAGCCCTCGCGACTGGCTCTTCTTCCTCTGCGGATTCTGCGCCTGGACCGCCGATGCTTTTGACTTCCACGCCTTGTCGATCCAGACCACCAAGCTGGCCAAGTACTACGACCGCTCAAAGACGGATATCACCACTGCCATCACCCTGACTCTGCTTCTCCGTTCCGTCGGCGCCGCCTTCTTCGGTCTGGCTGGTGACAAGTATGGTCGCAAGTGGCCCATGGTTCTCAACATGATCATCCTTGGTCTTTTGCAGATTGCCACCATTTACAGCAAGACTTTCCAGCAATTCTTGGCTGTGCGCAGTTTGTTCGGTCTCTTCATGGGAGGTGTCTACGGCAACGCCATTGCCATGGCTCTTGAGCACTGCCCGTATGTCAATCAATCATTTGCCTTCCTTCAATGGCTTGCTAACAGTTTCTCAGCTCCAACGCTCGTGGTTTGATGTCCGGTATCTTACAACAGGGCTACTCATTCGGCTACGTCCTCGCCGCTTGCGCCAACCTCGGCGTCGGCGGTGGCACCGAGACCTGGAAGACGGTCTTCTGGATCGCTGCCGGTATCTCCATCGCCGTCGGTCTCGTCCGTATCGCCTTCCCGGAGTCCCAGCAGTTCCTTGAGGCCAAGGCCCACGGAAAGAAGTCGGCCTCACCCGGCGCCTTCTGGCGCGAGACCAAGAAGATGTTGGCTCAGGAGTGGAAGATGTGTGTCTACTGCATCATCCTCATGACCTGGTTCAACTACTACTCCCACACCTCGCAAGACTCGTACACCACCTTCATGATTGCTCAGAAGGAGATGGACAACGCCGGTGCTTCCCGTGCCTCCATTCTCATGAAGGCTGGCGCTTGCGTTGGTGGCACCATCATCGGCTACCTGTCCCAGTTCGTCGGTCGTCGCCGTGCCATCATCGTCTCTGCTCTCATCTCTGCCTGCCTCATCCCCGCCTGGATCCTTCCCCAGGGCGAGCGCAGCCTGAGTGCCAGCGGTTTCTTCATGCAATTCTTCGTCCAGGGCGCCTGGGGTGTCATTCCCATCCACCTCAACGAGCTTTCGCCCCCGGCTTTCCGCTCCTCTTTCCCTGGTATCACCTACCAGCTGGGTAACATGATCTCATCCCCCTCTGCGCAGATCGTCAACGCCATCTCCGAGAAGACCTTTGTCAGAGCTCCCTCAGGCCATAGCGTCGAGGCCTATGGACCTGTCATGGGTATCGCCACGGCCATCATCGCCATGGGCATTGTCGTCACCACCATGTTCGGACCCGAGCGTCGCGGCCGGAGCTTCGAACACGCCGTCGCCGGTGTGCAGGGCGAGGCCGTCGAGACCAAGGAGATTGACGACCACGACGAGGAGAAGGGTAGCATCAGGGCCTCCAACGTCGAGGACACCCGCAAGGAGTAAGATCGGTCGCTGCCGGGCTCAGCGATAGACGTACAACACTGTTGAGAAGTACAACTGGAATGATTTGGAATTACGGTACGCAGGTACAGGGAGGAGGCCGGGCATAGGCCTCCAATGGCTGTGATGCCATACACAATACCCCATGGGAAGCGCCACGGCGCGAATGAATGAATATAAAGATTGATACCATTTGCAAAAAAAAAGTCCCCCTGTCTTACCGCATTCGGCCGTGACGATCAGTACATGTGTGCGACATGGTGTTTCACATCACGACATTTCTTCGCTCGTGTGGACAAGCTTTCCGCCAAGCCGCTGGCTACGTATCGGCGTCGCTGGGCGTTGAAGCTTGCGAGTGCTTGTCTCTCTGGCTGTTTTTCTTTTGCATTTCGTGGGAAATTAGTCATCGGTGGTGCTAGGCCCGATCGAGGGCGAACCGGTCCAGACCAATGCCCGGGACCCACTTATCCCGCTCCATATTCCATTGCCGCGTGAGCAGGTAACCGGCGGTCGGCTACTTGCCTTCTTAAGAGCTCAGATTGACAGTCGTCGTCTGGAGACGGTAACTATCACTCTTGATTTTCTCAGGAAATCCTCCGATTTTGTCTTTGTGGCTTGATTGGCTTTTCTCCAAGTTGTGCAGCTGTTCTGGTTGGGTCCACTGCTTGAGCCCACACTCCCTTAAGTTGGAAACCGGTGTGCTTCACAGTGAAGACGCTTGCTACTCTAGCAAACGGTTGTAATTTTCATAGTAAGGCAAGGGTTTTTTGTCCGTTGAAATTAAGAGATTATACAGAAACGCAGATCTGAATACGAATCAAATTACTACAGTTAGCCGTATCACTACCTTGTATTCTCTCAATCATACGGCGAAACCCCCGGGATGGATCATGGATGAGATTTCCCCATGTTGCAATCTCACATCTCTCCCTTTCCCCGACATCTCCAGACTCCACGTTTTCCATGTGCATTGCAGGGTTTTCTGTCAGGCGGCCGGGCCTTCTCCATCTGGGGTTCGCCCAGTCTGTGCGGTGAGACATTTGCGATCAGCGATGCCGCGATGTTGGAAGCAGTCTCGTACGATGTGCAGTGGGCGCCAAACGTCGCGATGGGGCCGGTTCGTGTGCTCACCGTTCCACGGGTTGGTTCATTGGGGCACCGTTTAATTGGCGTCCGTTGTGGGGGGTTTGCTGTTGGTGAGTCCCCGCTCGCTCCAGATTTCTCCAAGAGTTTTTTCAATGGGGGCGGCCACCCCGCTCATATCATTTCCCCTCATTGTACCCTGGACGTGGAGTGCTCCGTACGGGTTTACTCCGCTTTGCGCAGAGATGTTTTTGTTCGGACTCGCTCCAGTTTGGGCGCTGAGATTTCACATGGTTCCAGACCTGGCCTGGTTCAGCTTCTGGTCCATATTCAGAATTGAGGACTTGGATTGTGGGCTAGTGGATCTGGGAACGCGTGGGCGGTGCGCGGAGAGAACACCGGGCCTCTACATTCAGCCCGAGGACCGTGGGCGTGGGGTAACCAGCCAGGGGGATTGATGGATACGGTGAAGTTGGAAAAGATTTTTGAAAGAGATTTTGGTATGACTCCATTGCGAACCCGAGGACTTGGCAAGCCTCCAGTTTTTTCTCTTGTTCCTGTTTTCCCAGTTCGGAAGATTACATCTAAGGAAAATGAGAATCCTGCTCGGATGTTGTCCGTCTCGCCCAGGCCCTAATGTCACAACCCGACCCGGGGTCTTATGTGTGACTGCGGCGCAGGAAGGCCATCCCGTTTTCGGGATTTATTTACTTATACAGGTTTAATCTTGACATCGTTCCCGTGGGCCGGGGTCCTCGGCTACGCTACGCCGTGGGATGCATGGCCGGTTTTGGGATGCGCTTGAGATCCGTGAGATGAGGGAGCCGGCGGTGGTCTGATTCCGGGTGCCGGACGAGCGGGATAACATGATTCTGTTCTTGAGAGTTCCTCTGCCCTAGTGTTACAGCAATGTTCTGCGATGATGTCGACTTTTCGAAGAATCTTCGAGCAGCGCGAAGCGTGACGATGCCGGATTTGTCCCCATAGGCCCCCCTTGTAAACCCCCCGTCTCTGAGGCCAACGAGCTGCTGTAAGTATTGAATTTACATTTTTGCTCGAGTAGAGAGTCGGCGCTTTATTCAAGTCGCCTTCCGTAAGAAACATCTTCCGAACGCGATGGCATCACCGCAAATGATAGACTGTGACTGACAAGTTAAGAGCCAGAGCCAGCATCGCACTGAGAAAAGGAAAGTAGGGAGCTACGAGACAGCTCGGTCAGGCAAGTACAGTAATAATCTAAGTTCAACCGTTTTAACTGGGCACTCTCAAACAAGCAAAGATAGCTCCAACCAGGCCAGATGAAGAGATTAATCGAGGCTACCCTGGTCGACTGTTGGTGTTAACCACCAACTTGGCGTGCCCAGCAGTGTCATTTCGTCTCCAGCTCCTACATCTCAGCCTCGGCGAATTCCAGTCCAGCACCAGCAATGTTTGCAAACACCATGATCCCAGCAAATTGCGGGCCTGCTGGCGTAGCTTGAGCAGCAAAGTAGTAACAGATCCGCGACACATAGGATGCGATGTTGGAGAACTCGCCAGTGACGGCCGCTCCTTGTTCCCAGTTCATGTCGCCGCCACCAGCGACATCACGAGCGATTTCACAGAGATGATCAAGTGAAATCATCACTGCTGGTATGGCGAGAATAGCATCAATCCCTGCCCCTTTGACGCGAAGATCACTCGTGACGACCATAGATTGGAATCCCCAGTGGCCGACTTGATGTTGTACTAGTTCGTTGAAGCCAACGAGGGCAGCAACTCTGAAGAGGGTTAAAATTTTGGAAAGCGCACTCGTTGCCGAATCCTCGAGCGGGGCATTCTCTACGGCTATGTCAGCTGCAATAGCAGAACTTTCACCGAGGACGAGTAGGACCGTCGAAAATGTGCTGTAAGGGTTGTCTGCTGCTGGGGCCAAAACCTCACAGTAGTCGACATACGCTGCCATTAGTCTGGTTGTGCTATCTATGAGGTGGCCCAGATGATAGATCTCCTGGCGAAATGTCCGGTCAGCTGGCTTATTGGATCTGGTTGATGTAGGTGACGTGGGTGCTGTGCTGGTCGATGTGACGGATGCAGCCGATGAGATTGAAGTCACAGAGGTCTTGCTTCTGTGGGTGTTGGAGTGTTGCTCTTGGTGGACTATGACTGTGTTCGACGGCTCGCGAATAGCTACGGCTGTAACCATGTGATCTCCCTCCTGCCCGCGAGGCGATTCAGCCCGCGACCTGGATTGCTTTGGTCCTAAACAAGTTTGTAAAGCCTCCCAATTGTCAGCGGCAATAAAAGCCTGGACTTCAGCTTCATGAGCGGCGAACGGAGCCTCCTGGTTGGCGATCTTGTAGATTACCGTGTAGGACATGGCGGGAATCCAGCATACAAGGTCCAAGTAGGACACATCTGGTATTCCAATGTCGTTCAGAATGTCAGAGATGACGGGTATGTGAACTTTTGTATCCAGGAGGCCAATGGCACTGTCAGCAAACTCGATCAGGACGTCGAGCAAGGCGTCGACCACGACCTGGACAGTGGACAGCATAGCGACGCCGACGATCCCAACGAGTTCTTTCAGCACCGCTTCCACCGTCATGGACGGGAATCCCTCGGCCAAGCTCTTGAGCTGAACATAAGCAGCTGAGAGAGTCTGGCCCTCCTTTTCGAGCACGTCAAGAAGACAGTTGACGGCCTGATGCGACTCATCGCGTGCCATCTTGGGGGGCGTCCCCACCACTGTCAGATTCGCGCCATGGTTTTTGTAGTGTGTCATCATCATCTGAGATGCCGAGGTGTGCCCCTTTGTAGGATTCGAGGCGTTTGCCGCTGTCGGCTGGGAGGCCTTGCTGCCGAGCGTCTTTGATAAGTCCGTGATGCCTGCCCACTTCTTGACGCTCTCCTCGGCGCTGGCCATCTGCACATCAAACATGGACTTGGCAGTCTGGACTGAGTCTACCTGGTTTTTCAGCCATTGCTTCGTCATGTTGCAAAGAACCTTTTTGGTACGCTCGATGTCATCCCAGTCAAAGAGGAATTCAGCGAAAGACATGAGCTTCTTGATACTAATCTTGATGGCGTTGAAAATCCACTCCGCCGCTCCGACAATGGCTTCGACCGAGGTCAATGCGGCGCGGTAGACTTTACCGGAGATGGTGGCTACGAAGTGCCATGCTTCAGTTGCGTCGTCCTTGATGATGTCGATGACATGTTCCACGTCGGATTTCAGCCAGCGGAAAAGGTCACCAGCTGCGATGGCGGCGTCATGAGCCAGACTGTCGACCGAAGACGAGGACGTGTAAAGCGTGTGTGGAACCACGCTCATGCAAGATCTCGGGGTGACTGTGGGCTTGACGAGTCCATACGTTGTGCCGAGTTTGCTGAGGCTGTTCGCGACGTTGGCCACATCGTTCGATGATACAGTCTCCTCTACGAGAGCGGTCCACGTAGGCGTGCCCCTGATGCCGCCAGAGACCGTATTGGTTGGTACTTTGGCGTCCCGGAGGGCTCCTTCGCTACTGAGCGCTGCTACCGTCTGGAATGACTTCTCCATAGGATTGATGGTAATTTCGGCCTCTCCATTGTTACAAGTCACCGTCATGAGAGTGCCGTTGATGCTGTCTTGCAAGGCCTCGACGACTGTCAAGCTCCCGGTCGCATCCGTAGCCACTGTGGCAGGTGCCGGCCCAAGGACGTAGTAGATCCCGTTCATGTACACGGGCGTGCGTGAACTGGTAGAAATCGACAAATTGACGCCAGGGGCTGGAAGCTCATGTTTATCGAGGACTTGGATCGTAGTCGTGTACGACTTGAACTGGAGCGGCTTGGCCTTAGGCCCACTGGCCTCGAGCTTGATCTCATCTGCAGCCCACAACTTCGCGTCTGTGCCGGTGGCCTGCGTCAATCTCTCAAGCTTGCCGGACCCGGATGTGAAGATTGCGTTGCCACCGTCGCTGCGGTTGAGATACGGCGTCATCTGCTCTACGCCGAACACAATTGGCACAGGGACACTCCAAGCCCCTTGATTGTTCAGCTGGCTGGATGGGCAGGAGAGGTAGTACACTTCGTTGCTGGCATTCCTGCCCCAGATCGTCGTTACGCCTCTGTGGGTCATGGCTGCGAGCTCTGAAGTGCCCGAAAGTAAGCTGCTGTCAAGCAATTGTGTAGCGACCGACCCGTCAGTCTGGCGTTCAGCTGGGAAATAGAAGAGAGTCGAGTTGCTGACGGCGAACAAGTCCGTTGTTCCGTCTGGAGAGGCGAGAGAACCGGATCTACGAGCGGCGGCGATGGCAGAGGCCTGCGCGTTCTGTGGCAAGCTGAGGCGGCATGGTAATGGAGGACCGTCACCGAAGGCATTCTCGATGGGCACGTAGACCAGCTGGGCTGAGTTACCGGCGGTGCCGAGAGTGTATACCCCGTCAACGAACCCGCAGGCGACTCTGCCCACGCAGCTCTGATAGTCGCCATGCTGAATGTCTACCGGCAGACCATGCGAGGCCCAGTATCTACCGGATGTCTTTTGAGGGTCAACGTAGTAGCGGGTAATGTCCTTGGTAGCCTTGTTTGACGAGCGGTCGATGTCGACGATGATGTGCTGCCGGCTTCCCTGAGGCTCAGCGAACATGACGCGGACAATGTTGACAACAGACCCTGAACCTATGCCGCCCTCTGCGTCAAAGTCAATGGCAGACCACTGAGGCCTCGCCATCCAGGATGTGTCAGAGCTGGAATTTGAGAGGGAGAGGAAGAGCTTGTCTGAACCACCCTCAGACACCACCAACGCCATCCCAATGGTGCCATCCGTGACGCTCTGTCCCACGTCAAAAGTGCGTACTGACGTGAAACCAGACGAGAGAGCCATGCGGATCCAGCCGGTCTTGGTCGTGCCGCTCTGCTCTACAATCACATTGAAGACGTTGTCCGTGCTCAGCGCGAAGAGCAAGGAGTGGCCGTCTTCAGTTTGGAGAGCTTCGAACTTTGCTGTAGGAGCCACGATGTCTCCCTGGATGTAATTTTGGATCAGATCGGTCGTATGGGTCATGGAGTATGCCGGCGGGCCGGTGGCTTCGGGAAGCTTCGGCGCGGGTCTCGTGGGAAGATTGTCCCACGAAGGGTTGGTTATTGGGGCATCTTCCCTGGGCGGCGGCTGGAAGGGCTTGGTTGGTGCCGTGTAGGTGATGTCGCAGATTAAATCTTGGTGGTTGGAAAATCTGGCTGATGTGTACGTGAACACCTTCCCACCAGGAAACACGAAGTTGTGGGGCGTAGCAAAGTTGATACTCCCCAGCTCCACGCTCACCAGATCTGTAACCTCGGTCTTGACCTCTTTGAAGTGGTCGGTGATGCCCGCGAATGCGTTTCCCCAATAATTTGTTTCAGGGGACTGCGAATTGTCTTGTTTTTGAGACTTATTCTTGTCACGTGTGATATTCAGCTGGCCAGTCTGGTCCACAGACAAGTCGTAGGTGTCGGTGATGGTGACGTCGTATGCATTCAGTGGTGACTGTGTGATACCCTCGCACATCAATGAGACAACGACCCACAATCGTTGGCTGATGGTGATGATACTCCCATCGGCGTTTACCTCACAAGAGTAGTGAGGGACGACTTCGATGCTGTCATAGAATCGACCCCACATCTCTGAGTTCTCGCATTTCCCATCGGGATTGTTGCCTTCGGCCGACCAAGTAATGTCAATAATCCATTCGCCGTTAACAGGGGTTCGCACATCCGTGGTTTGTGGCAGTTGACCAGGAAAAAACTGTACCACTGGTTTCCAGTTGCCCAGGCAGTCGTCATAATCGATCTGAACTTTGGAGGTGAGGCAAGACTTCCGGGCAGACGGCAGGATGATGTTCATCAACTGCTCGGCGAATACGCTTCGCTTGATGGCAATGACACCACTTTCGCTCTTCACATCCCAGGGCTGGACCCAGTTCCAGTAAGGATCCGAGACTTTTGTTGGAGCCTCGTGACAGTTCGTCATACAGAGATGGTTGAGTGTCGCTGCGGCCGCCTGTTCGGGGGTCGGATTGTTGACGACCCGAGCATTTGAGTCCCTGTACCGACTGATGCCCACTTCAACCGAAGTCACCTGGAGTGTGGAAGGATCTGGATGGTCTTCAGCAACGGCGGCAACTGCAAGAATCGGTTTTCCGTAGCTCTTGGCTGCCTTGCTGTAGAGGTCCACGAAGTTCTTCTGCAGGATTTCTAGGACGGGAGAACCGGCTGGAATCCCCACGAAATTGGGTGTGCTTTGATCGGCAGCAGTTTCCAGATCCATGAGAGTCTGCTGAAGACTGTAAGACTTGCTGGGAGGAAGATAGTTGAATTGGGACTTGAGCTTTCCCTTGAGCTCTGGGCGGTGATTAAGATAGGGTGTCTCGAGGCCCCAGTCAAGCCCCTTATTGAGGATGTTGACGCCCGTTTCGATATACCACGGCGATCCAGAGGGCTGGTTTCAGACGTTCCAACGTCCATTTGCGGATGATCCTTCGCTAGTCGTATTCTGAATGACCTGGAACTCGGAGCAAAACATTCGGAAGAGAGACTTGCCGTCACTCTTGCCGAGCTCCAGGACTGGAGGAAGCTCCTTGGGCATCACGCCAGGGGGCACACCAATGCGAATTTTCACGCCAATGACGAAGTTGTTCCGAGTGAGCGCTTCAACTCGAGGGTCGTTCGGCGATGCACCATCTAGGATCTCGAACGGGTTGACCCCATCTGTCCTCTTCAACAGTTCTTCGAGGCTGATCTGGGTTGTGGCATTTCCGTTATTTGAGTCCTGCGGCGGCTATATTAGCAGTCGGTCGATACTATTGATCTCCCACGAGGAATTTTGCCATGTTTCTCCATTTGGGAATACTCACCGAGAGATAGCAAATGAGGTTGATTGGCTGGTTACTTTCCCAGAGATATTCCAACAAGCCAGAGTTAATGCTGGCTTGAGTAGTGGAGACCACGAAATCATATCCGTATCTTAGGTCTGTAAGGTTGGAGTTGCTGGCGTCCATTTCTGAGAGCTTGAATGAAGGGAATAAAATATGACAAAGTAGTAAATCTGATTAAGAGATTGCATAGAAATCTTTTTTGTTATTTGCTCACGACATGCATGGGAAATCGTCTTATTATACGCTATCATCATTACCTTAAAGATATGGGACTGTCTTTCACAAAATCCCCTCAAGCTCTCATGCCCTGCTTATCACCATTTATGCGGTTGCCACCACTTAGATGCCAGGTTCTCTGTCCATCACTCGGCTGGAAGCAGCCTCTTGCACCAATCTGGCTTGGATACTCGCTCATCCCTACTAGCGAGTTCAGCTGTAGTAGCCACAAACTTAAACCAAGTTCATAGCTCGCCACCGACGGCTTTCCCACGACTCCATGATCGCAAATTCAGTGCGAACATTCCAAAGTTCATCGGATGAAAATTCTTCTTCTTCTGAGCGAGTAGTTAGTACGTCGTAGTTTTTGCTTCAACACCGCTGAATTCTTTAAAGCACTTGAATCCCCACTAATTTGTGGCTATTATGTCTTCCGCCGATGAGCCGCGACCTGCAACAAAAGCCATGGTGGCAGGTATGTCTATGCAAGTCTTTACCTTTCTCAACTAAATGCAGATACCTAAACTCATACTGAGAATCGTGATGTGATTAACTTCACATGATGAGACGCCCATTTCACTACAGTAAATTCCTATGGTGGCTTTTCCCATACCCCAAGCACGTTTTAGACACTTTGAGGCGTCAGACGATCTAAGGCTAGCCGCCAAAGCCTAGGGCATAGGTATCCTAAGGTTGGCTTGGAGCTGAGAGATTGCCAAGACAGATCACTCTTTAGGGCAGCCATGTCTCGTAGGTGGCAGGATTTCAAAACAGCACGGCGTTTTTGCCCATGTCCCAAGCTGCACAACCCCGCTGCAGATGACATGCGGTGAGGCCTTCTCGGTCGCCGACACATATCCGTAGTGTACGTTCGTCAACCTGCCATCATTGTCTGATCTGCGTAATTCTGAGACAGAAGGTGATCTTAACGACGCATGCATATCGTTGAGAGGAGGCGAGAGAAACAGGCCGCCCCCATTCCCAGACGCGGAATAGAAATCTACTTCCACAGAACCTAGAACCACGGGAAACATTGTTGCCTCGCGGAACCAGCCGTGAAACGAACCTATCACCCCGCAATGGGGGCTGTTCTAGACGTAGTCTACAACTCAAACGTGGAGACTTTGGCTGAGAATTTGGGAGGGCTTGCGCCACTGATCGACAAGCGCGCCTCGAGCATCCTCAGCGCCCGTCCAGGCGACTGGAATGTCTCACCCGCCCTGATCAGCTGCTCGACAAGTTCAAATCCCCCTCAATTTACAAAAACCAGGGCAGAGAATGGAATTCATCTCTATTGGCTTCGTCGCCCCCTGGCCAACGTTCTCAAGCTCTCAATGCCGAAGACGTATTCCTATACGCATCCGCTTAGTGTCATCGTACATTGATCCCCAAGATAGCCACGAGAGTCACCTCACAATTTATTAATAAAAACATGCAGTTCCGATATCGATGAAATTTCCTTATATCAGCTCAATCCGTTGAGTCTCGCATCAAATTCTGAGTGTACTGTGGCTGCAACCAACACATCGTCCGTGCCAACAACTCATGTTACCTTAGCCGATTGTAAAGGACCATCTGGCTTCGGTTTCAGGCCTGAAAACCATCTGTCGGCGGACTTTTCACTGAGAAATATGGCACAAGAGACACAGAGGCTGTGCTATTGACGCAGTAGTATCCCGTACCTAGCAAAGCCATATTTATTAAGTTTGCTTTCGGTTCCAAAACAGATCTCAATCCCAAGCGAGCAGAAACAGATCCTTGCCAACTGAAAGTCAAAGCGCTTCCAAGTGCCAAAGTTCCACTATTGACGATAAGAACAGGACCAAGCAGGCTGCCGGATGAACTTAATTTCAAGAAATGTGCTCAAAGCCGCTTGCTGGAAAGTTGTCCAGTTGAAAAAAGTCCACGCAATGATTATCCCATCGGTCGACCTATCTGTACACGTGATTCTAGTGGCTTTCAATCATTGCAAATTAATATCGAAACATTGCGATTCCCTCGCTTAATTGGGTCGGAAGTCCCGTCCCGTTGCCTCGTTGGTTACTATTTCGCTGACTGGGAGTGCGAAAGCAAAGAATCGGTATAATTACTCAGTGCACAAGACTTTCTTTATGGTCCGATCCCTAAGCAACTTGGTTCTCGTACCTGAATGATCCTAGAACTTGTTGAATGACAGGGCGGTTTCAGACTCCACGCAGCTGACGGCGCCCGTCATTCGACACCTTGATGCTGACACGAGTCATCGCCAAGATGGAGATAAAGGGTCTGCCTTTTTGTGATCCGTTCCCGAAGCCGAGCTGGATTAGCGGCTTCACTTAATAGCGGCTCGGTTTTAAAGTCAGCAGGTTGCTCGCAAAGCCCTACAGATTTAAGGTTCAGAGTGGAACAACAGAGTCATACAGCATGTCGTGACCTGTTCATCCCGTCGGGGTTTTAATCAATTTGATACCATCCTTTCCTCATCTGAAGTTTATCGAGAGCTGCGGAAAATTCGCTGCATTCAATCGAAGTACATAAGTAAGCTTAATCGCAGCTCATTCATCGGAAGAGAGCTATAGAATTACCATCAAAAACACCACACACCGAGTCTATCATTTTCGCTTCCAACTCGTCAATATGAAGTTCATTCTCCTCCTCGCTTCCGCCGGAGCCGCCATGGCTTTTGTCGAGTGCCGTACACCGACAAACGCTGAGGTCAGTCTTGATCCGAGACTTGCTAGTTGTAAAGTTCCCGTAGCTGACTTTTATAGCTCTTCAAAAACTGCCAGACTCAAGAACAGCGGGATGGCTGCAAGGGCCAGTGCATCAAGCACGTGAGTTATTCAATCAGAACAATGCCCGGCAACAGAACTAAACAGCTTCATAGTGCTCGGATACAACCGCAAACTTGGCCGTCTGCATCGAGTAAGTCTACCTGCACCAACTCATCGATGCTACCATGATTCTAATCAGTGCAATAGCAAGGCAAACAATGACTTTGACTGCGTCTGCGGAACCCAGGCTGGCAGGGGTCCTGGATTCAGCTGAGATGATGAATGAGTCTTTGCATATTCGTTTTAGTGTGGACCGAGCATGGCGTGCCTTGTATTTGAATCAAAAAAAGGGGAATTTTGTCTGAAGAGCACTTCACTTCACCATAAATATCATTTCTTTACCATTGACACTTTGACGATGTTTCCGTGGACTCTTCATATTCCTGAGCCCGAGTCAATAACACGAGCCCCACAGCTCAAACCCCTTAACGTCCGCTATTCTGAGACTCTGCACCACATCCCTACTTCAAAGTCGACAGATGCGATGAATAGGACTGTCCTACATTTAATGCTTCATGACGTTGAGGTTGTTTGTTTGCCTCGGCGCCGGGGATTGTGTTTTTTCTCCACCGGCAAACTTCTTACTTGCCGCGGCCGAATACGATAACCCCTGATCCGGTCCTTGCAGCTGATGGAGGGTTTTTGGATCCCCCCACCTTGTCATGGACCATCGCACTTGCTCGGAATCTCAGAGCGGCAGAATGATTATCGTTTGCAAGCAACGATCGATCACTTTCACACGACTTACCAAGACCAAACTCGGCTTGTTTCGCGAGTCAAATCAGCAAACTTGCCATTGGAGCTTGAAGCTACATGAGCGTGTCACGTTCTTTCCTGTCGAAGGCCTCGTATTGAGATATCACTTGCTGTTAATACTGATACGCACGCTATCGAACGACTAAACTCCTGTCTCCATGCCAGACCCAATTCGCAAAACTCGCGCGTCCGAAAATATCTACAGTAGAAATGAAGAGAATCAAGTAAGGAACTAAGCCTTAAACTTCTTGAAGTTACGTCCACCATCGGCCAGCGCCGTCATGTTGGTGTTGCCAACCTTGATGTACTCCTTCTCCTTGGGAATCGCAGCAATCACTTCGTCAGAGAGGCCAAGAGTATCCTTGACGACCTGCTTCGGGGTAAGGGCCAGCCATTGCGCAACGCTGATGTCCGAGAACTTGGGCGCCTGAAGGACCTCAAGGAAGATAACGTCCTCGGTACCAGTGTTCTCGATGTAATGGCTGTCACCAACCTTCACGTAACCAACATCGCCGGCGGTGAAGTCAAAGGTACGCGAAGCCTCAGGGGCTTCAAAGATTGTGATGCGGCCGGAGCCCTGCAGGAAGTAGTTCCACTCGTCGCTGGTGGTGTGCCAGTGGATCTCACGCATGGCGCCGGGCTGGACGACGACAAGGGCAGCCGAGAAGTTCTCCGCAATGGGGAACGTTTGCGGGTCGAGGATCTTGACGGATCCGCCGGGGACTTGGAAGGGCTTTTGTTGCGACCAATGGTAGGTGTATGATTCAGCACCAGTCAGCGATCCTGCTGATGAGGTCTGGTTCTGCTGCTCAATGTCCTTTGGCGCAGGTGTACCATTGAAGATCTGGAAATGAGTAAGCTAATGCACCAACGTGCCAAATCATCTTTTGACTTACATAAAGCTGATCCTTGGGGATCTTGTCAAATGCAGAAACATCCGTCTTAAGATTCTTGGAAAGAACGGACAAGGGGTTCCTCAAGAATAGCTCAGAAGCGAGGAATGTGTTCTCTTCGCTGAAGCTTCCCTGGTCGAAGACGAGGAGGAACTCTGTGCCTTGGTCAAACGCCTGAATGCTATGAGGGACCCCCTTCGGGAAGAACCATACATCGCCTATGTGACTTGGTTAGCTTTCTATGAAAACGAATCAGGTCGAGAGAAACATACCCTCGCACACATCGTCGACGAAGCTCTTTCCATCCTCATTCATCGCTGCGATGCGACAACATCCCTTGAGCATGAGCGCCCACTCAGCGGAGGTGTGCCAGTGAAGCTCGCGGTAAGCGTTAGGCTGCAACTTCATATCGACACCCGCCATGGCAGAAGCGACGGGCAGAACTTTAGTGTTCTGCTGCCGCGCCCAGCCGGCGCCCTCTTGGCTGCCGAGACGGTTATGCGAAAGGCCCAACGGCCACATGGCGTTCTCGACATCGCCCTTGTCGGTGCCGGGCGGGGCAAAGAGATCGGGGTTTAGCTTCTCATAGTCGTAGGTTCCTGCGGGAATTATGTGTTAGCGCATCTCTTCCCTGCAATGATCAATCTCCCTTCAACGCCTCCCCGCTAGGGATGCAACGTACTTGGGCCCGGGTCCGGAGATCCTAGTCCGCCGCGGATCGGTTGCGGGACGTCGACACCATCAAAGTTCAGGTACAAGCCGAGCTTTCCGTCTGCTTCCTGGCCGGGCACGAGTGTAACGTCGTCGACGTTGGCGGAGCCGCCAGTCTCGGGGTCAGGTCGCGCTGCGTTGCCTCCGAGAAGGCTAGAATCTCCTCTGAGACTTCCCGTAGGTGTAGTCACGGTGGGAATGGGCGGATCGACACCGCCAACGGGGCCTTTGTTCTCGCCATAGTCTCCCATTCTATTCAATTGTTGGCACAATCTCCTGGTAGTCGCGTGCTCGTGGGAGTACTTACTGTGGCGCCGGAACGGCATAGCTCTGCGGCAGAGCCGCAAGCAAGCTAGCGAGGAGGAAAGCACCGTGGGTATACATCGCGACGGAGAATAAACTGGAAGAAGACGAAGTCGAAAAGATTGCGCTGTAACGAAAGACTGGTTATTGAGTGTCTGTTTGCAAGATGATCTGGAAGCTGATGATTCTGAGATGGAGAACAAATTCCTTACAGACCGGATTGAAGGGCCTTCTTATACCTCGCATTCGCCATAAGACGAACTTAGAACCTGCCTCCAAAGCCTCCCAAAGCACACAAACGACATATGATGGTTCCCGAGCTAGCTATGCCGTGCCTTGACCATCTGCCAGCCTACTTCCCCTCACCCAATCCATGCCATTTACTATCACAAGGCGGAGTGGAATTCGGCGGGACCGATTAAGCTCCCAGCCTTGGCGTCCGGACCGCGATATGTGGATGACATGGGGCTAGCCGCGTGGAGCACGAGCAGTGCAGTAGAAGCCGGGGGCAATAGTAGTCTAGATGACGCGTTTTTGCTCTTTTAGGTCTATCGCGAACAGTGAGACGGTTAGCACGGGAAAGGCAAAGACCCACGCACGGTTGTACGGCACCGGTGTGGACGAACATATTGATCTGATCAACAGCTAGCCACATGCTACCTTGAGATTACTCACAACCTCCGAAAAAGCACACAGCGCTCACCACGTTGTCTCAGTTAAAGCGCTTACAGCCCACGGAGGCTTCGGGAAGTCCATCGCGCCTCAATCAACTCAGCTGGCCTTACTAGGATCAAAGTTGTTTTGCAAAGTGCAAATGTTCAGCAAAAGTTTAAAAATAAGGCTTGGTGGTGTCGACGCCCCCCCGAGCGCCTCCAGCGCGGATCATCGAATCTGATAGCGGGAATTCGGTAGCGCCCCACGTTGCATTTCCCCCCTATTGCCGAAGACGGCAGTTGATTGTCTGGCTGCGTTGTGAAGTCACCGCTCTTAGAAATGGTCCGTTCGCGATTCGTCTGAACCGCGGAACCCTCTTGACGTGTGTTCTTTGTGGGTTACCTTAGATTATTCATGCAGAAGAAACGTACTTACCTGGGATGATTAAGGGTGTGACGAACACCTCGGTGAAATGAAAAAAAGCTACGGTGTCTCGCAGAAAGCTCGGGATTGTCCGCTTACACCAGACTTATTCAAAATTCAAAAGTTCTAGCTCCCTGATCACTCGGCTGCTAGCGTCCTGCCACCGGCCTCTAACCTCACCCGGGCAGAGGAAGGAAGCTTGTAAGAGTTTAGTGACGCGCCAGCCATGTGAATGGCGAAATGTGAGCAATCGAAATTACAAATGCCGCAAACTTCTTGCACGAGTACAAGCATGTGTGCTCAACATGGGATTGGGGTTCTGCTCGCTCGCAGTAGGTCTGGGCTTGCTTCCAGGTCCTTTACACCTACAAGGTGCCTGAATGCTAAATCGGGTCCGGCAGACTTGGAGCCCGGGACGTCATTTCATCAAAAGTACAAGATTGCATCATTCTCAGAAGAGGGGAAACTTTGGCCTGTCATCTGGCAGGTTTGCTAGATGGCCCAAGTCCAAGGTTCAGAAGATGAGACGAATGCAACGTTGTCTACGCGATGAGCGATGGCAGATACTAAATAAAGCCTCACAACATGACATAAAGGCAGCTGAATACAGCCAAAGCTTGTTTTGTACCCAAACGGGACATCACTGCTGGCTGAGTCGTCGGATGTCGCTGTGGTTGGATGCTTATACGATTTGAGTTGCCGCTTGCGATGCGGAAATGCCGCCACAATGCCATCGTGCATGCGTGCCCGCCGTTGGCGCGTGCGGCTTCATCCGATGCAGGTGGCCTTCTTTTTCTCCTTCTCTGCCCGCTGCAGATCTGTCTTGGCTCAAAAGGGGAGAGCTTGTGTCGCAAAGCCAACGATCGACCGGTCAGTTGGGCTTGTGAACACCCTTGATGGTAGCCAAGTCTCGTTAAGCATAGCCATAGCTGTCCATCGGCCAGTGCAACGCACTTGGTCATGGTACTTAAGAGTGTTTCATCTACAGAAATGATTTCAAGAGAAAAGACAAATGCTTTTTGAGGAATTATCAGATCCCACCGGCATAATCTCCTCCTCCACCCGAGAAGCTAGAGGGAGGTATTCCCGTGGTAATGCAGCACATTCGTACGACGCTGGCGCTTTCAACATGCAAACCGGGTACTCGATCTAGTGACATAAGACATGACATCTTCTAATTCCTAAGGTATGATGTACTATTGGTTATGGATCCGACCTGCTGAATCGCGAGCTCCTCAATGAATAACATAGAGAAAGTAGATTGATCGAAGTACGTGTTACGACATCAAGATCTTGCGCACCAGCCCTCCCGTTAAACCAGGCCACCAACAAGCTCTACGTTGAATGGAATGGCCATACAAGGCACGTCACAGCCATAATCCCTGTGAATTCTGTTACCAACAATTTTTGCCATGACCGTGTCGTGGGGGGCTTCGCTTATCACGCCATCTCGCAGCCTCGACTGGTACATATCTACTGCAGACAAAATGAAGAGAAATCAAACTTTTCACAGCATGGACATAGGTGTAGGCATCAGATAATAAAAGCGCATGACTGCTGGGTATATGATCATTACAATACTGAGGTAACGAGTAAAATGGTTTGTTGTGCTAATGGCCTAGGTATTCCTTGACCTCGTAGTTCTTTTTCGCGTAAAAGAACCACAGTGATATGGTGATAATGGCAATGCCCGCAAGCACAGCCGAAGCATAATTCATTTGATCTGCAACAGCAGGTAGGTAATAAGGGAAGCAGTAAAAGATGAGTGCAACAGCCGACCATGCAAGCATGACTATGTTCGCAGCAAAGCCAAGTTTAGGATACCAAAAGGGGCCGTGTTTGAAATTCGAGCGACCTTGGGAAAGTGCCAGGACAACGGGGATACTGTAGCTGATGTATTGAAGTAGCAATCCTGTAGATATGAGGGAGTTGAAAGCGAGGTCGGATGCGAGGTAAAGGCAGCCGAAGATGGCAGTCCCTGATGCGGAGAATATCAACGACCAGGTAGGCGTATGCAGCGGGGAGGGCGCAATCTTGCTCAGGTGACGGTGCATGGGGAAACCGGCCTCGCGGCTGATGGTCCACGCGAGCCGAGACTGCCAGGTCTGAATAGACCAGACGGCGCCGATGGTTGTGATCATGACGGGCACCCAGAGACCCACTGAAGCAGCCTTACTGCCTGTGATGCGGTAGAACAGGGCCAGGGCCGAGTTGTCGTCGGCTCCGTCAATGATGGGGACGTTGATGAGAACAGATGTGACAACAAGGAGTCCGGAGACGAGGCCAACGACGATAGTCCACATCAGTGCTTTTGGAATATCCGTGCTGGGTCGGGGCATCTCCTCTGCCAAGTGAGTCGCAACGTCGAGGCACGAAAAGCTCCAGTTGGCGCCGTTCATTCCGATGATGAAGGCGATGCCGTTTTGCCAGCCCGAGATGTTTACTGTGGTAGCGAAGAAGTCTTTTGCGGAGGCGTGCTCGTCCGACATGGCGAACAGGGTTATGAAAATGACGACGATGGTGGTGCAGCTGAACAGCAACATGATCTTGGAAATCTTTGGCAGCAGACTCTCGAAACTCGCACCGAAGACGGTGACAATGTTGAGGAGTTGGAAACCCAAGAAACCCATCCACCGCTTATAGACAAAAGTTGGGTCGAGAAGCGTGATGATGGAGCAGATGCCGACCGGGACCGAAAGACACGCCGACGAGCCCGTGGCGACGGCAGCAAGCCAGCTGATAACCGCCGTGATGTATGACAAGAACCGGCGAGAGCTCGGCGGCGCCAGCCGGTGGACCCAGATATACTGCCCACCCGGGTGCGGCATAGCCGAGGCCAGCTCCGCGAGAGTTGTGGCAGTTGCAAGACCAACAAATGCCATGACGAGGAAGCCCCAAAAGAAGAGCGGCGAGCCGCCCATGGGCAGGGTACTTCCAAACACTAACAGTAGGCCGATGGCCGTGTTCGTGGTTCCGTAGCCGATACCGAGGGCGGAAAGAGTTGTGAATGGCTTCATGGTTTGCACGGTGACGTCTCCGTGGACGATGGAGCCATGCTCCGTGGCTTCGTTGTCCGCTTTTTCGGGCATGGCGGCGACGGTGTTTCGAGTTGTCGCTGCTGAGGCCTTGTCGAGTGAGGAGGATCGCTGATCCATTGTGATAGTGCTGGCTGAAGTGTTCGCCAAGGGCGAGGTCTCGTCCAAGATGACTGACTCTGTGGATATATGCGTGGGCAGTGGAGGATAGAGGGAGGGGCTTAGAGGGAGATTGCCTCCCTCAAGTCTTGGGGGTGGAGTATCGAGGGACCAAGTTAAGTAGACGCACGTCTCTTGTGCATGCTTGTGTGACCAACTTGATGCAACTAGATGGCAGCACGAGACTCGCGTTGACCGATCAGAGGCAGTTTGATAAGCCGAGATACCATCTCGTCCGCAGAAGACAGCTTGAAGATAACATATCCCGGACTCGTTTCCTGGGGCTGCCGCGCTATCGGCTCGCATTTCGCACACAGTTGCCCGATCCGGCAAGCCAGAGCGGGCCCCTATCCGCTCCCGGTGCCCCGCATCCCGACCCCCTCATTCGCCGACACCGGCAGAGATCGCGGGTGAGCTGCAGCGGGACGATGAGAGTAGTAATGGGCACGATCATATGGTTCGTCTGAATCGAAACCGAGGTCAATGTGGATGAAGATTGCGTCCTTAGAGCTCAGGATCTGTGTTCATTGCCAATTTACTCAAGAAGCTCTGGAGTAGCGATCAGTATTACCCCTCCAGTCCTTACCACGGTGCCATCAACTTACATCAAATCTCACCGGAACTTCAAGATGGGGGTTGAAGATGAGCTTTCTTCTTACCTCAGTGAGTAATGATCACAATCAAACCTCAAAGTCATGCATTGCTAACCAATTGCTCCAAGATCCCGAAACAGCCAGGTTTCTCCTAAAGGTTTCCAAGGCCATCTCCCAAAACCCAGGCCTACCCAGGCCAAACCCAACAATATCAGCATGGCAAGTTCCAGAGCACCGCCTGGCGTCAATCCAATCTCCCACACTCCCCAAGCAAACCGACTTCGCAGTCATTGGGTCCGGCATCACCGGCTGCAGCGTCACAAAGACGCTCCTCGAACACCAGGTATCGCGCAACTCCCACGTCACGATCCTCGAAGCCCGAACGCTCGTAAGCGGTGCCACGGGCAGGAATGGCGGGCATCTCGTCACTGCTTCGGGGCATACTTACGGCCCCATAGCTGCGCAGCATGGTGTCGAGGCAGCGAAGCAGATTACCCGCTTCTCAATTCTCAACGTTGAGCGGATCATGAAAATGGTTAGAGAAATGGACCCGGAGACCCAGGAGCGGTGCCAGATTCGTGATGTTCTCAAAGTCATGGCTGTTGGTGATGATGAGACATGGGCCGCTGCCAAGAGCTCGGTATTGGGATTCCAAAAGGCCGTCCCAGAGCATAGCCAATATCACCGAATCGTCGAGAGAGACGATGTGCCAGAAGTACGTGATTCAGGATGCTGGGGCAGGGTCTCTGAGCTTGGATTACTGACCCTTTTATCACAGAGATGGAACATCAAAGATGCAAGCGGGGCCGTGGAGCACAACGCCGGAGCAATTTGGCCGTACCGTCTTCTCATGGGAATCTACGAAGGTCTTCTGAGTCAACACCAAGACCGACTAGCAATTGAGGCAAACACGCCCGTGCTTCAGGTCAAATTCTCGTCGTCCGGCAACCCAGAATACCCCTATCTCATCACGACGCCAAGGGGCATCATCCGCGCCAAAAAGGTCATACACTGCACCAACGGCCACGCATCACACCTCCTACCACAACTAGCCGGCCGCATATATCCCTTCCGCGGCACAATGTCCGTCCAGAAACCCGGCCCGACCCTCAAGAACCTGGGTGCTTCGCGCTCGTGGAGTCTGTCTCACAAGCCGACCCTGGATGTCCGGAGCGGTCTCTACGTGACGGGCCTTTACTACCTGCAACAGAACCCCCTGACGGGAGCAATCTGGATCGGGAACGAGACGGCGTACATGAAGGACATCTTGACGTCGGATGACACCTACGTCCCGAAAGAGGCGAGGGAAGCTTTGTCGACGGTGCTGCCGAAGTTCTTTCTTGAGGGATGGGCACCTGAGGCGAAGACGTCCGAGGTGGAGGCGATTTGGTCTGGCATCCAAGGTCACACAGCCGATGGTCTCCCGATCGTGGGGCGGATCCCAGACTCTATCGCTGGAGACGCCGGTGGCGGACAGTGGATCGCAGCTGGGTTTAATGGTTACGGGATGGACAAGTGCTGGCTGACGGGCGAGGCTTTGGTCAGGATGATGTTTGGGGAAGACGTTGGCGACTGGTTCCCGCAGGCGTACATCGTCACGGAGGAGCGTTTGCGAGGGAAGTTAACGTCAGATGAGACATTGCTCAAGTTTGCGAAGCTCGCGAACCCTCAGGGGGCCAAGCTGTCCAAACTCTGAACGAGTTCCGATCTGCCGATCTAGAGATAGATAGAAAGCTGTTTTGGCCAAATAGAATATAGTTCATAAAAGATACATATGCATATTTGTTTCCAAGCTAGCCCATCATCGTCCCAAGATTCTTCTCACGCGCGATATCGAGCCAATACACATCCTCTTCACCCGCATCCAGCGCCGCCCACGTGTGATCAATCAACTCAGAAATGACTCGACTCTTCCGAAGCGGCAAAATGTGCGTATAAGCCGCCAGCCGCGACCGCACAAACTTGCGCGCCCTCGCCACCTCGATAGACGCGGGATCAATATCCAGCACATCCGCCCCAGCCTCACCGTACATAGCATCAGGCTGTCTTAGGTGCTGCGGCTCTCTCCTCAACTCGCTCGAGATAGCCACCATGATGAAAGGTTGCGCGCTACGCGTCCGTGATTCGAAGGGTATATCGCGCAAGATGCCGAGGATGTACATTGCAAGCTTCGTCAACCACGTCCTCCTCTCTCTCGCGGACGGAATCTTGTTGCTGTCCAACCCCGATCCCGCGGTCGCAGACATCGGAACCGGACGTAGAAGCCGTTCCCTGTCCCACGGTGCATACCGCTCATTCAACAAATCTGGAAACACGCGATACAGCTGTAGGAGACCGGTACACCGATACGCCTCGTCGATAAGTTCCAGATGCCGCAGTGGGGTCTTGGGATCACCCGGGTCCGTGACGCGAGACAAATCAGGCGGACGATGCGCAAGAAACGCGCGCTCGAGTTGTCGTGCGGAGCGTAGAGCAGCGCGGAAGACATCGAGGTCCGTCTCGGTGAGGAACTTGACGGAGGCCATGTGTTTCCGGTACTGGAAGATGAGGATGCCCGTGTCAGTCAGCAGTCGGACGGTGGCGTGGGATATGCCCGAGTACGGGTGCGGCACAATCGACTTTGACGGGTCCGCCGGGCCGATGGATGTGGTGTGGTGGTAGTCGCCCAGTTGAGTGCTGTCCGTCAGGTAGGCGAGCAGCATGGCCCAGTAGTCCATGGTATCGCTGAAGAAGGATAAGCTCGCGTCTGCGTCGCTGCCGCACGTCTCGGCGGAGACGTCTTTGAGCATGCTGCAGCTCGCTCTGAACATGTCTGTTGCGAGGTTCTGGGGGCTGAGCCAGCTTGATGTGTGGCCTAGGAGCGTTGACGAGAGAAGCATGGCCCGCTTGTGTGTTGTAGTCATTGAGGTTGACAAAGGTAATGCCGACGGTCGATCGCGGATGAGTCTGAGGGCGTTGCCATGTTCTCTTCGGGCGACGGGTAAGAGGTGCGGAAAGTCTTCTGAGAGGCAGGCGGCGGCCATGCTCTGGATGGTGTGGTATAAGGCGCCGGAGGACTGCCACATTGTCTCGACAATGTTGCGCATCACGTTTGTCTTGCTGTCCCAGGCGCAGTAGAGTGTGATGACCTCGCGGAAGAAGTATTCGGAGAGCGAGGTTGGGAGATGGGAGAGTTCTCGTGGGCTGCTCTCTAGAAGTTGCTTACATGACCTGGATTGAGTATCATCAAACGAGGGCAGAATACTGCTCTCCTGAACATTGACCGCGGAGCTTTCACTCTGGAACAGATGATCCATCTCCCGGTCCTCAGCTTGAGATGACGACGTCGTCGGGCTGTGGCCATCAACAGTCCAGGCTGAGCTAACAAAGGGCGCATCCCAGAATGGCGTTGTGGGAATTGCATTCTGGCTGCTAAGAAGTAAAGCGCACGACGAAGCATTAAGGGAGGGCATGTCCTGTGGCAGAGCAGGAAGATCCCACTGTAAGGGATTTGCGAGCCATGGGTCCACGTGTTGCAGTACGTTGGTGTCGACATGGTTTGAGGTTGGCGAAGCGGCTTCGATGGGCTGTGGACTTGTTTGAGATGCGGACTCTCGAGGTCCTCGTTGTCTGGGTGAGCCTTCAGCTACGGCTTTTTGGTCGACGCGGACTTGGTGCTTTCGCGACCAGCGGACGTTGAGGGCGTAGCCTGGGCACTGGATTCCTCGCTCCTCACACCGGGCGCATCCAGGTTTCCTCTCGTCGCATTTTGTCTTACAGTAGCGCGTTAGTTCGTGTAATGTAATGGAAGAGCACCAGAGAGATCTCAGAGTGTCTGTACCTTTTTCGACTTGCATCTGAGGCATCCGCCCCTTGATTTGGTATGCATTGCTCTAGAGGACTGCATGAAGTGGGGTAGAGCCAAGACCCTTGATATTCTGAGAGTCTCGGTAATGAGACGGACGTGATTTCGAATATTGCAATCTACATGAATGCGTGATTTTCGCAGTGGGAAATGCCTGATGAGTGCTCAAGGTAGTGGGTGAGAAGTCAAAGTTGGAGGTTGGAGTAGATAAGTTATCACTGAGTAGACCAACCTAAACCTCTTATCTCATTCGAGTCTAATAAGGTACTCGTAATGAACGAATGCTAGCGCATCCCGAGACCCCCGGCCCAGCGTTGCGACAATCCCCCGCAATTCTCTACTGCGTCTAACGCGAACCCGGTCATGCGGGGGGAGGGGTCTCTCCGGCAGACGGCATTTCAGACTCAAAGTTTGGATAGCATCGGAACTCGGCTCTTGGCAATAAGCATCGCTCTCATCCTTTGAAGTATTGGAAGAAGAGAAGGCGTCTCTGATCAAGGATTTCATTCTTCGCACAATTTCCCTGATCCAACTCATGCACAACTAACACTCATATTGGAATCTCATATTATCAAATACAATCCTTCACCCACTCACTCACTTAGCCACCGCCTCTCCCATCCCCAGCCTTAGCACCAGGCTCTCTCACCATAGTAAACAACCGAATCGCATCCCCTTCATCATCACAAATCATCTCCCTCTCAAACACGAACCCCCACCGCCCATAAATCTTCACATTCGGCACATCCTTACTAGACTCCAAATAACACTTCACACCCTCCTCATCAGCCCGGTCCGTAACAGCCTTCATCATCTTTGCTCCCACACCTTTCCCCTGAGCGGAAGGCAGCACGACCATGATGTTGAGGAAGTAGTATCCCCTGGGATCGGTCCAGATCTCGCGCTGGGCTTTGGCTTGGGCCTCTTTCCAGATGTAGTATCGCTGTATTCTTCGTCAGAATGAGATTCCAATGAGTTCAGAGTGAGATGTAGATGAGATGAAATGAGACGAGGACGCATACCTTGACATTCAACCCCCCGCGTCCATACCACAAGTTATAATTCACCTGTCCAAACCAGAGCCGCCACCCCTCGAACCAATCATTCCACGTCGGCGGCGCGTTGGCAGGCTGTGGAGGAAGCCACATCGCCACGCCGAGGACCTCATCACTGCCTTGTTCTTTTGCGACGTGGAATATGCCGTTGCGCATGCCCCATCTCATCCGGAGGGCTAGGGACTCGTAGTTTCGTTGCTGGTTGAACTATAGTATGGTAAGCATCCTTGGAAATGTAGGCAGGATTAGGGACAAGGTTGTACCTTTGATTGATCGTACACCCAGACATTGTACGGGTCGCCGCTGAATGCTTGTCTGTGAGGCGTAGATCATTAGCATCGAATTTGATGTTGACGTGGGCACCGTGCTAATGTCTGTGATACTCACTGCACTGCCTTTACTGCCCCTGGAATATCCGCCTCTGTGAGATCCGAGACTTTAATCGACATCTTAGACGTGGGGTGAACTATCGATGGTGGGTTGGATGGCAGTGAGGTACACCTGATCAATGCGATCCAAGGTTCCAGAATAAGGGAATTCAGCGCGAGCGTCTTGTGATACTTGAAGCAATGATTTCAATCAGATACAAGTAATCAATTGAGATGGAAATAACATCAAGACCAGATCAATTCCCAGTGTGTCTGATAACTACAAAGTAACCCCCAATCTCCAGGTCGCGTGCGGTCTGCGGGGTACAGATAGTGTCAGTCCAGAAAGATTATCAAAGGGAGATAAGATCGCATAGACTTTCCGCGAAAGGCAAGGCGGGAAACTCGGGCGCAAGCTCAAGCATGCCAAACCTCACTCACCCCGCGTGCCGGCGCCAACTCATGTCCTCCACAGATGAGAACAAGGCCGGGACCGAGAGAGCTATCTCGCCAAGGACCCCTAAACTCCAACCACATTGCACACGTATTTCACCTGACTACGGAAGACAGACCGACAGCGGGACCCTTACACTTCTTCTCACTTCCCCGCAGAGCTACCTATCCGTAGATCATCCGCCCTACGGGAACCTGTGCGACAATCCGAACATGCGTGAACCTACATATAACCTTTCCCTTCCCTCCCACCGGAGTGACGTCGGATGAGTGGCGAGAGGACAAACACTTGGCCACTGCATTTTTTTCTCACTGCTTCTTCTATTTCTCCAATGTCCCATGTTTCAATTGTCAGCCAGACACGGGACGCGTCAGTGAGGCAGGCGCAGCCGGCGCTGAGGCCAGCTTCGTCCGACTCAAGTGAGCAACACCAAGTCGGTGGAAATCAAAATCAATTGCTGTTGCTGTTGAGGGAAAAATGAGTTTGAAGATATGATATGCCATTGGTATTCGCTTAATTATGATTATGTTAGATATGCAATGCTCATTCGCCATGAGGAATGTGTCAAAAGCCCACCAGAGACCTGTGGTGGACGGGGAAAGTCGTTGAAGGCTCGCTCACTCTTTGGGGGAGCCTTCCGATGCTTTCCGGTGAAATGAAGAAAATCTCATCTCAACATCAACGTGTCGCCATGCTTCCTTCCATGCATCCTTTTCTTCAAAACAAGGGGCTTCGGTCCTTTGAAGCATGACCGATATTCAACCCCCAAACCCATAAATCCAAACATTCTCTTGCGAGTCTTTTCCCCTCACAGATCCTTCTTCTGCTCCTGAGGAATGGGGTTTCCCTTTTCGTCAACGAGACCCTTGGCGCGCATGACCTTGAGGGCGTCGTGGAGGGGATCGAGCTCGGGCTGGGGCGCGCGGTGGGAGTCAAAGTAGTTGTCGGCCCAGGTGAAGTACTGGCCGTAGTTGACGGTGAAGTACATGTGGTGGAGGGTGTGGTGGGCGGGACTGTTGATGTACTTTTCGAGCCAGTGACCCGAAATCATGTCGCCGTCGTGAATGAGGATGGTCCAGATTTGAACGAGGACGAAAAGGCCCATGTAGAGGTACTTCTGGATAGGGCAGAAGAAGACAAAGACACTAGGGATTGTTAGTTTTATTGTGGCATGTTGGCACCAAGTTGAGGCTCAAGTGGCTCCCAATTGGTGGTGATGATTCTTTGGGGCTGACTAACTGGTAGGGCAAAGATTGAACGTAGCCGTCGAGAGGGTGGAAGGCGAGGGCAGCCCAAGGCGTAGGCACTAGATACAGTCAGTTGAGGCCATAGAAATGGGTGTCGGTCAATCGACCGGGAAAAAAAGGAGGGAAATGGGGTGACATACCAATCCACTTGTGGTGTGGCTTGTGGATGTACTTGTAGACGGCGGGGTGGTGCTCGAGGCGGTGAATCCAGTAAATGGCAATATCGTTCCAGACCATGAAAATGGTAGCTGAAATGGCCATCCACCAGAGACCATACTCCTCAACGTGGGTGTACAGCAGACTCTTTCCGCGAACTTCGGCAAGGAAAAATGGCAAAGTCAGGATGTTGATAACGGGGACGGCCTTCATGGAGGAGATCATCTCCTGGCGGATCTGGTTCTTGAGGAAGCGCGGGTGATATTCGAGGCGTCGGTCAAAGATGAGGTAGTAAGACAGCGGACTGAAGATCCAGTAGAGAGCGCAGGCGCCCAGCTGGGTGATTGCGAGGATGGAGATTGTTTGACGTAGGATACTATCGCGGGGCCAGGCGGAGCCATACGAGTTCGAGAGGTCTATTGGTGATGATGAGGCAAAGGCGTCGCCGGTCGCGTTGTATGCGCCGGTGCTGGCAGTGGTGGGCGCAGGGACGAAGTATGCGTAGGCCTTGTCCAGGACCAATGGGTCGAGGAGCTCGAGCGCGACATCCATGATGGGCCGGCTTTGGGTGTGGCGTGGTTGTTCGTTGTTTGGTGTCTCTGTTCGGCAATGGGATGCGCTGGAGAGTTGGGTAGATAGACGGAGAGACGCAGGTGTTGGGATGCGTGCAGGAGGTTGTTGGGATGGCAGCTGTTGGTGTGCGAGGTGAGGCAGAGAAGAGAAGTGAATGTGAGAGGAGGCGAGGTGTAGATGGAAAGGAAAGGAGTGACAAAAGAGTCACGTCGCCGATAAAGGTGTTCCGATGAAGTTGCGCTCGCTCGCAGCTCGGTCGGTCGGTCTGGCAGTCCCTCTATTACCGTTGCTGGCAGTGCTATTGTTGCTGCTTCGGCGTCTGCTTTCTGCTCAGGGGCAAAGGAAATGGCAGAAACATTTTTGGGATCCGTTTATTTTCACCCACATTGGCACATTGGAGCAAATTAGTCAACCACCGCCCACCCCTCCCACCAAAGAGCTCCTTCCGTGGTGCGCGCTTGCGACCAGTAACTGGGCGACAAGGGACGGGACGGGAAAGAGGGATGGCGAAAAAGTGCGACCACCACCTGCCTGCACTGCTGCAAAGGTACGAAATACAATAAAATCAGCATATCAGGCAAGAGGGAGGAAGGAAAAAAAAGAAGGGACCCGCCAGATGAAATGATGGCGCTAAGCTTCATCTGTTCATTTAAACGAGGTCGGGCTGATCGTGTTGGCCACTCACAACAGCGTCTGCCCTGCATCTTCCCCTCTGGCGGGGTCTTCTCATCGGTACGTAGCTTCTCAATCAGATACGTGCCCACTCCCGGCGCATTCTGGTGGTGGTGGTGGTGGTGGTGTCACTTTGGTAGTGGCCGCCGCACTGCGCAGTGATGGACATTGGACACACCCATCACAGCAGCATGGCAGAGTGCGCCAACGCCGTGCGTGTGCAATCTGATTTGCCAATCCCTTTCTCGAGTATACCGGACCTGTTCCTTCCCCTCCATTACCACCTGTGGGTTCTCCTCAATTGAATGCGCTGATTTGGCGCAATCAAGCAGATTGTTGAGCTGCACACAACATCGAGCAACCGCAACATTTGGTGACTTTCGGGCTACTCGGTGTCCGTGCGGCGCCCCGAAGACGGAGTTACGAAATATCAAGGTGGGGCTTATGTCGCTGGATTCCCAATGGGATTTCAAGGAGAAATGGAAAGCGGGGCGGATCTCTCGGGAATTCGAGCTGCCAGTCGAACCATTCTGCCACCATTCTTCCATGGCCATTCTCCATCTTCGCCACGGGTGAGCACGGGGAAGACATGTGGATGGCATATCCCAGCTTTCAGGATGTGTTATCCTTTTCTGCCATCTGGATTTCCTGCCATCACACTTTTATCCATATGGCAGATATAGTCATGATGAGTGATACGCTTGTGGCGCGATGATATTGAACCTGAACGACTCTTTACTGGGCCTTCTGTTCAATGCTTCTGGTGTTGCTAGAATACCGCATCCTTCTGGCCCCTCCAATGTGAAAAACAATGGCAATTGCTTTTCGGACGACTCAGGCAGGGATCCAAAGCAAACGCCGGTTTCGACCATGCTACAGCCTGCAACGGCTCGCTCGTTTGAGAATGAAACGGACACTGATCAGAGCGAAAGAATCACCCGTTGGCAAGCTCTCAACATCGACCCAATTGCTTACAGCTTCTCGATAGCTCGGTGATGATGGTTCTTAGCGCACTTTTCGTATTCGGATCGCCCAAGAGCTCGGGCGCTCCACACGATCGACATTTTAACTCTAGCGCCTCACGGAGTGTGGCAGCAGAACAGGCTGAACAGCTGCCCAATCACGTTAGACATTGAGCCAAAGCTGTGGTGGAATATCTATCCCAAGTCTAGAACGTTGGATGGTAGTTGTCAAAGGTTCTGGCAGAAACTCTAATGACAACCTTCTCTCAAAAGACCTATAGATACCTGTATCCAGGCTCATGTGGGATACGGAATGATTGATGGTGCTATCAGTGAGGTGCGGTATCATGGCGATAACGTTGCTTATGTAATTGCCATGAACATGGGAGGAAGGAGCCATCGCAGTACTTGCAACCCCCCGTCGCTGCTGCACTGTTGCCTAAGCCCTTATGGGAAGCTCATTCGAGATGAACAACTTCCCTTCTCCGCAAATCTCGTCCCAATTCACTTCCATCTTCTCAGACCTCTCCCCATCGACCTCCGTCTCTCTCTCTGCCCGCCTCCAACAACGGCGCGGAATCCGGCCTCGCAGCGCCAAGATCGGACGTGGGGACCGTCTTCGGACGTTCGTTCCCAAGCCAATTGCATAACACGACTCTCGTTACTCCCACTTGTTCCTGGCGTCGATAAGGGGGTACCTAGACAGACGACGTCTCCCAGCAGAGCGGTTCGCCGCCGTCGGCCCCGGTTGGTTCGCACCCATCCATCCACGCATATCCATTATCCGCAAGCCAGCCGAGCCGCGCGATGCCAAATACAGGCAGGCCGAGTCCAAACTGCCACTTGTGCCGGAGCCGAAGGGTCAAGGTGAGAGAATGAGACAATCAGACACACAATTCCGTATGAGTACTCAACAAAACCGAATCAAAAACGGTCCCTCCCGCCCTCCCGCTCCCGCTCGCAAGTGCGTAGCGTCGTCGCGTTTTGTACCTACTTTGTGCCTATGGTTTACGGATGGATCCATGTACCTACTCTGCTTTATACGTGTGAACAATCATCTCAAGTCTCCATCGCCTTGCAGCTGACAACTGGGGGGTCCGGCCGTGCGCGCCGTGCCCGCGGCATGCAAAAAGTGCGATTTAGGCCGACCTCAGTGTCAAAGATGCATCAAGTACGGGGTCCAGTGCCCCGGCTACCGCGACGATGACGGGATGCGCTTTCAAAACGCCGATCCCACCTCGTTTGAGCGACGGAAGAAGAAGAACCACCAGCACCAAGACGAGGACGATGAGGCTACGTCGGTGACCAACTCGAGGACCGGGACCCTACAGATCATAGAATTCACACCTGAATTATCGACAGCGGCATCGACCTCAAGCTCGGCGTCCCCTGCGTCGAGCTGCCAACCGAGCCGGCAGTCCACACCTGCCACGAGCATCACCACCGACACCACTACCTCGACGCAACTATCTGTAGCACTTCCCGTGCTCAAGACCCTTCGTCAACACTGGACTGCCGAGTCCATCCCGCTGGTCCTGGGATTCTATGAGAGCCTGGACTTCCTTCCAGGCTTGTTCCGGGGTGCCGGCCAAAACCACTGCCTCGTGCTCACCGGCCAGGTCTTCACCAGGGCCTATATGATTAACAAGTTTCGTCCCAGGGCCGACTACCGCGAGCTGTCCATCGTTCTCGGCCATGCCCTGGCCGCGGTACAGGAGGCTATCAGAAACCCGAAGACGTATACTTCTGATTCGACGATCGTTGCGGTTTGGTTGCTTGGAAACTATGAGGTAAGTGAAGAAGCTTGTGACATGCTGTTTGCAAGACGCCAAGCCCAAACCTCGGTGTGCAACTGTGCTGGGTTGTTGTTGTATTGCTTTTGGCGACCAGGGGACTAAAACGAAACTCTGACAGCTGATGATTGGCGGGTTGGAACGGAGATCGTTCATTACCAATAAAGAAAGGGGTTCGTCGCCCGAAGTTCCCTGGCACATCCACGGCCAGGGCCTCCTCAGCCTCATGCGGGCAAGGGGGGACCGGCAGCTCTACACCCGGTCCGGCCGTCAAATCTTCTGGGTCATGCACAATATGATTGTAAGCAAGGCACCTCAGACCTACCTGTACTGGTTTACTAAACCCGCATGTTAGCAAGTCCAACTCACGATTGCAAACACGCCTTGTCCCCCGGACTTTGAACGCTGGCTCGACATCATCGAAGCAACCCTCCAACCTAGCGAAGGCCTCCTTCTTCACACTGCCCGCTACCTCTCTGCAGCATGCTCCCTTCTATCGAAACTGATCCCGATAACACTCAGCGGCGATGCCTCCCGCGCCCGGGCAGCGTACCCGGCCCTCATTGCTGAGAGCGACCGGGCGGACCTCGCCATGGCGGAGTGGATGCGCGCGGCGCCCGAGTTCCAAATCGAACCGGGGCCGATGTGGGGCTACTTCTGGAACTCGTGGCGGAGCGCAAGGATCAAGGTGCACCACATGATCATTCTCATTTCGAATCTCGTCGAGTATGGTGAGCCGTCGCTGGTCCCGGAAGAGTACGATGCCGACTGTGGTGGCTGTCCGTTGTTGAACCCGGAAGTCCTTCACGCCCGCCGGGAATTCTGCATGGGCATCATCGCGACGGCCGGTCGGGATGTAGTGGAGGGGATACCGAGGTCGTTGGGCGGGAAAATGCCGGACCTGGACCCGGATTTGCCCTCGTCGTACTTCGATGGCGTGAGGTTGATTTGGCCGCTGAGCCACCTGTACATTCTCCCAACGGCGCCGCGGCACCTGCGAATCGTGGCAAGGGATGCATTGTTGAGAATCGCCAAGGAGAAGGGGATCTTGACGGCGTTGAAGCCGAGAGCGGGCGGGATGCTGTTCCCGGAGGCGGCCTTGAGGGGGATCCCGGTGGATAATTTGGAAGATGTTGTTGAGGGCGGCGGAAGAGTGCATCAGATTGCGACCAAAGTCGAGGCGCAGGATTGATGATACTCCACAAACAAGGTCGAATGAGAGCGGGCTCCGAGGCTTGGAGCGCGTATGTTGACTTCTATGAGATCTCCGAATGATAAAGTCGGGGTTTAGTAACTTCCGTCATCCGGGTACGGACCCGACATATCGCTGTTTTCTTGTTGTGGGTTCTACGGACATAATCATCTAGTTGTACCCGCCGTCGGCTTGTTCCCTCGGGGTATTCGCCAGTCGGTGCTAAACTCAATTCGCCGATAAACATGACATCAATACCCAAGTACACAGCCCTGCCAGCCAAAGTGGAAAAGATGATGTTCGTGCGCCTAGTCCTTTCAGCTTAGCTCTGGGGGCTCTGAAGGCTGCTTACGCTCGCATAGCTTGCTGCTCCCCCTATGGTCGATCACTGACGATCGCATCTCCGTCTTGTACCCATTCTTCGAAATCGGACTGCCGTAGGTGTCTGCAGGTTGATTCTTTTTAGCTATCTAAGGGTCGCCTGTGGATTTGATCTCACTCCACGAGGATCGTTGAATTCAAGGGAAAGCTCCTCAGTGAATGCCATCGAACAGCGGAGGTTATGTTGCACCCATCCAAGGGATTCGATAGACCCCTCAATATGTTCAAGGTATAGGACTAGGCACCAACGACCCTCAAACGCGCGCAGCCCACCGTAAATATGCATCATCGATCGTGCATCCCAACCTTTTCTACCCCAGCTCACTGGCTCAGGGAACGAGAAGCTTGTTTCGACGTGTTAGCGCCAAATTCGCGTTGCTGCGGTCTTGCGGCGTTGAAAGAGGGAGCATGTCTACGGTGTAGAGTTACTGGTGCAAATGAAAGAGTTTGATCAGTTTGCGGTAGAGTACTGCAGGGCGTAAGCAGAGCCCGGCACTTCTGGGCCGAGTAAGCCTGCCCCATACCGGAAGAGGAAATCCATTCGACCCCGATTTTTTGCTTGATCTGGGTCCTAAGAGCGCCTTTGAACTTTGACGTATTTGCGTGGTGGTGAGTGGTCGCTGGTGAGATGTGGTGGTAGGATTCTGGGTGCGTGCCGATTATCCGAGTCGCGGGATAGGGCGCGGTATGAAAGTACCTTATTCTGGCACCATTCCTGAATAGTAGCATTTCTCGAGGTTCTTGGGGGTAGAGTTAAGAGTCAAGACTCTGGTGGGCTCAGCCACGGGATTGACGCGCCCTGTGGATTTACATCAATCTCAATTACATGCCCATGTATTCCGTACTACGAAACTAAAGGACAAATAATAGCAATAGGTGAGCTTCCATACAGAAACGGAAAAGATCTTTCCCCGTAGAGATGATCAGTGAGATGCATCGTTAATCGATAAGAGGCCTACCCGCTCCTGCGGGCTTAGATTGCGTCTAGATAAGGTACGGCGCTACACCCCGGGGCGCCGCTGATGCGCTTCGACGGCTTATTGGATACCGCAGCGACCGTTGGCTTTGGAGGAAGGCGAAGTTGTGGTTAGCGGAGGATTTTCCCAGCGAATGTAAGTAAGCGAATGCGATGGATGGGGACGCCGATGCAACGGACGCGCAGGCTGGCGGATGGGGCCCCGAAGGCTTGTTTTCTGACTTACAGCTAGCTGCCTGCTGGTATGGGGCCGGGGGATGGATGCATGGGAGGACTCCCTCGCGTGTAAGGTATGGTGGTTTTGGAAATGATATAATTACCTGGCTTGGGAGCTCTAGATATCTGGAGTATTTCGAATCATCATCATTCTACTTCACTCTAGAATACGACTAGTCTTACATACCTAGTACTTTAGTCTTATTATGCTTGTTTACGAAGCTCTCATCCAGGCCAGGGGCCTTCTTCGCGACAGCGATAGTAGCTCGAACAGCACCAAAGATACCTGCCCACACATCTCCCTCGCCGAAGGTTAGTCTTTACACTTCTACTCAGTGTGTCATCATCATGGTCTCTCTGCTAACACCAACTCAAGATGCATCTCAGCCCCTCTTCGGCAACATGTCCTTCTACACATTCAACATGATCCTCTCCGGTAGCTTCGCCGCCGCATCATGTCTCATCATCTTCACCCTCATGATCCTCCACGCGACGCATCTCAGCAAGAGCAACGAGCAAATAAAGTGCGTCCCCCTCCATTATCCATAAACATTACGACACCAGACACGGTAGAGCTAACTGCAGAAACTAGAATCCTCAGAATCTCCCTCATCATCCCCTTCTGGTCCATCATCTCTTTTCTGTCGATTTGCTTCCCCACGGCCGAGGTCTACCTCCACCCCTGGCTCGAGTTCGTCCAGTCCATCTGCCTGGCCACCTTCTTCCTCCTCCTGTGCGAATTCGTCTCGCCTAGCGAGCAGCACAGGGATGTATTCTTCGCCGGCATGACTGTGAAGAATAAGAAGGCTGCCAATGGGGAGGAGAATGGTCTCGAGTGGTACAGGGTGAGTCAACCATACCCCATCAAGTATTATAGGGGTATACATCTAACATCCCGTCGCAGAAAATGTGGTTCGCCGTCTTCCAGTATCCAGTCGTCGCTCTCCTCGTCGCCATCTTGACCGCCATCACCCAAGCTGCCGGAGTCTACTGTGAGTTCGAGAGTAAAGTGCATTTCGCTAGATTATGGGTAAGTCAAACCTTCAGTCCCCGCCTATAACCCACCTAACAATTCCTCCAAAGCTACAAATCATCGGCACCGCCTCCCTCACAATCGCCCTCACGACAGTCATCCGCTTCTTTATGCAACTCCGAACAAAGCTCTCCCACCACCAACCCCTCGCCAAATTCTTCGCCTTCAAGCTCGTCGTCACCCTCACCTTTCTCGAAAACATCATCTTCTGGATCCTCAAGGACACGGGCGCCCTCAACCCGACAGCGACGCTCACCGACGCCGACCTGCGCATCGGTATCCCCTCCATGCTCATCTGCATCGAGATGCTCCCCCTCGCGGCGTTCTTCCACTACGCGTACTCGCACCGGCCGTACGTCATCGGCAGCGGGAACACGCGCCGGCCGTTGGCGGGGGATCTGGAGGCGTATGAGCCGCAGACGTATTCTGGTGGGCCTGGGGGTGTGTGGGCGCTGGTGGAGATGTGGAATCCGATGGAGATTGTGGAGGCGATTGTGTTTGGGTTGAAGATGAAGGCGGAGGAGAGGAAGCAGTCTAGGGCTAGGGGGCGTGGGTGGCAGTCGACTAAGTATCAGTCTGTTGAGGAGCCGTATGAGATGGGTAGGAGATGAGGGAAATGATGGATCGAGACTGATGAGCGTTGATTTTAAGCATAGATTGATCATCTTATGACACATAGACTTTTCCTAGCAGGTGTACATACCCTTTTTTAGAAGTTTACTCGCTTACATGTATTCTTTACTCGTCCACAGTAAGAAATGTCAAGTGAACCTGCTTGGTACTTTAGTTTACCGAGGTACTTTACACCATATCGTGGTCCAAGTTGCGTTAATGGGAATTGATGACTCGGGCCGAGAATACAAGAAATCTTCACACGAAAGTCGATTGAAGTTTTTGAATGAACTGCCAGTATCATTCAATTGTTGTACAGCGGCGCGTATTACTATATAGACAAATAGATATACTTTGAACACTACGTCTAAAGGGCGTTGACCTTGGCGGCATGCTCATAAACAAGCGGCTGGGCCTCGGCATCATCCAAGTAGATGGTGAACCCATCATTATGGTTCCGACCATACGAGTAGTTGGAGAAGCCGTACTGCCAGTACATATCCGGCATCTCCTCCTCCAGCGAAATCGCCTGCCACTTACCCAGCACCTCCGTCCTCGGCGTATCATCCACCTTACCAAGGTACTCAAGCCTCTTATCGGCCGTCAGCCACCCATACTCCTCATGCACAACCGGCTTCCCAACCTTCTTCCCAGACGCCGCGTGGTCCCGGATCCACTGCTCCGTCCACTCGACCGTCTTGCTCCACCAGTCAGGGTACGAGTGGAATGTGCCAAAGTCGATATTCGGCAGCGCGAGCTCGTGGTCAAAGTCGCTTCCGTCGGCGCCGTTGTACGCCCAGTCGTCCGACTCGATGTTGAAGCCGCCCTCGCCGCCCCAGGTTACGAGGTGCTTGTTGTCGAGGGACTTGACGTAGGCGCTCATCTCGGTGATCCAGGCGCCGAGGCGCTCGGGCGTGCAGTCGTCGCTCCGGGGGAGGTTGCGGGTGCCGTCTGCGCCGCAGCGGGGCTCGTTGGCGAGTTCCCAGGCCATGATGGCTGGTGAGTCCTTGTAGCGGGTGACCATTTCTTTTACGTAGCGCTTGAAGGCGTCCTTGATCGCGGGGACGTGGTAGAACTGGGTTTGTATTTTGGTTAGCATTCGGGCACCGTGGGGTTTTGTTTGTGGAAGAAAATCGGGAGCTACTCACGTCGTCGTGGTACTTTCCGCCCAAGTTGACTGTGTAGACGTCCATGCCGCCGTAGTCGGCCCAGTTGTTGGTGAGCGCAACAATCAGCTTGATGCCGACCTTGTCCGCGGCGTTGACGACTTTGTCAAAGGCCTCAATGTTGATGACGGAAGTGCCATTCTCCCATCTCTGGAAGACGATATCCGTGTCGCCGGCGCCCTCGCCGCCATACTGTGGTAGACCACCAGCATTGTACGTGACGTTCTTGTCGTTGAAGCCCCAGGTGCGGAAGACCTTCAATCCGGCGTCCTTGGCTGCCGTCAAGCCGGCCTCGACATCGGCTTGGTTCTAGGAAGCATAGTCAGTTTTCACGACATCTTGCTAAAGTCAATCAATTGGGCTGCTCTTTGCAGGTCACATACGTTGTCAAAAGGGAAATAGTAGGCATTGCTACCCGCAAAGTTGAAGTCTTCGCCATCGAGCTGGAACTTTGTGCCCTTGACCGTGACGAAGCCCTTCCTGATGCACGCAGCGGACGCGGCTCCGCTGGCCAGGAGGCCAATTGAGAGCAGACCGGAGAGTTGAGGTAGCATTGTTGGATCAGTTGACGGGAATGCCTGCAACCAATTCCAGGAGACTCTCCCTCTCACGGAGACGTACGTTGTGGCTACGTGCCATATATATTGACCCTCACTCTCAGAAAAGTTTACATCATTGCAGGAAACGCGACCCGAACCATACCATCTGATCCGGGGCGTTTCCCGATTCGAACGACGGAGGCCGTTGGGCCGCGTGCCACGGGTGCGTCGACCGGGGCACGCGGGGGGAAGTTGGAGATGCCAAGGTGAGGGACGGGGACGCTATGCTGCTTTTAACGCGGAGGATGGTTGTCCG